AAATCAGGTGACTTCACATAAAAATTAAGACATCTGGCCTCCCTTGAAAGACCAGTAGTAACCTGGCCTGCATGTCAGTGACATGCTCCACGGTGGCTCCCCCTCTTCCGGGTTCTGCAGGCCCAGCCTCTCACCCTTATACTATCTGTCTCTTCCCTGGTAGGCATTTGAGTTTGAGACCAGACCCTGCTCTAAGCCAACCGACAGCTGCTCAAAGTGAGAAGCTGATCTCAGTGTCATTGTTAATAACGGTGCTTGTCTTCTCCTGAGAACTGCAGGATTGCTTGTTTTATGTGCTTGTGTACCTGTAGCCCTGTGCTGTATCTGGCACGGAGGCATGCATACGTTTGCTTAAGGATCTGTGAGGTCTAATTCTTTGCAAGCATTTGGCTACCGATGAGGAAGGTGAAATGCCCACGACTTGTCTCAAGTCCAGAAGCTTAGAAATCCAAGTGTGAGGTTAGGACAACCTGCCTGTGAGGGTGTGAGCCAAGGCCAGGCTTGGTGGTCAAGTGCGTTTCCAGACAGATGGGTCAGTCCTGAGATGCCGGCTCCTGGGATGCTCTTTGAGTCACCATACCCGCACCGAAGGCTCTGAGGAACTCCATAGTAACACAACAAACTGTTTTATTTGGCTTAACTGAATGCTTCATAATCTCCATCTCTTTTCACTATTTCGATATAATCTTTAATTCATAACACTCCCTCCTCTCAGATGCACTACATGACAAGCTATTTTTTACTGATGGTGAAATACGACTGCCCTGGTTAAGACAATTTTGCAAGACTTTTGTGATAGCCACATGGGCCCCCGGGGTCTCCTTCCAGCTATTGCTCAAACAGTGTTGGGAAACATGACTTGCACCGAGGTCTCCTTGGAGTCAGGGTTAGGCTGCTCTGTTTTTCTCCTTCCAGGGGGCCATGAATCTGTGAAGACAGAAGCGTTTACGTTTTCACATGCATCCTCACCCGTTCTCCTCACCACAACCCGACGGCAGGGATCAGGACTCCGTTTGGTAGACGAAGAAACGGTCTCGGAAAGCTCACTCAAGGCCTAAACCCAGCCAGAGGCAGTGCCGAGGTTTAAGCGAATCTTTTTACTCCGGACCCACCATCGCCCTTCACCGATGTTTTCCTTGAGCACATCACTTTGCTTTTTGGTCAGATCATCATGTTGGCTCTACATTCTTCAGACTCAGGGTTGTAATCCCCTCCCCTCCCCTAAAACCCTACTGTTCTCTAACGAAGCCCGAGGACACCAGGGGAAGGCGCTACAGAGGGTTCCAGCAGCTCCCGGGCCTGGAGGGCACGTGAGGGGCGCAGAGCCCCTTGAAGAGGCCCAGGGCTTAGCGAGCTGGGTGCCCCGGGGCTCCTGCTACTCGACCTAAACCCTCTCCCTCTTCCCACCGCGTCTCGGGGCCCCAACTGCGCCCAGACCCCAGATACTTGCTCCATGGAGCTGCGTCCTGCCTCTAGTTTCCCCTGTCCCCAGGAGGGGGCCGATGGTGCGAAAAGCCCCCTTGGCCTGAAGGTCCCCCCTGGGAAACCCATGTGCGCGCCCTTAACCCGCTTGGCTGTCAGTGGCTCGGCGTTTGCAGATCTGGGTCCGGGAGCGGCGGGGGCTCCACCCCGGCCGGCCGCCCTCTGCCCTGCGAG